TGCCCCTGCCACTGCCACAGCAACATCACGCATGCAGCGGGGGCTTGAATGACAGGACTGTGGAGATGTTGGGCTCTGCACAGGCAGGGTAAGACTGCATGAGGGACATTCTGCTCCACTGGGCACTGGGCGCCTTTGCAAAAGTGGCTTCTCCCCAGCAGCCACGGGAGCTCGGCTGTGTGGGGCCCGCCGGTGCTGAGGCAATGGCATGTTCTAGGGCTCAAAACACGTCCAGTGCCACTGTTTGCGCGGGAGTCTGCCCTCCCTACCTGAGATGGCAACATGGACTGTGTGGGGAGCGGAGCTGCAGTAAGAGCTGTGGGCGAGGGGTTGATGTGCTTGGGAATAAGGTGGTCACTGCCTTCCTCATCGAGGGCTGGAGCAGGCAGAAGGCATGTGCATGTGTGTTATAATTGGAAAACAACCAAAAAAAAAAGATTTATTTATGTTCGTAGTTTAAAATGCCTTGTGCTGTTACTGGATTGGCGTCGGCCAATGCGGTTGGTTAATCATTGGCTATCAGTATCGACCAAGAAAATCTTTATTGGTGCACCTCTAATTTTATTGTTACTTTGTGTTGCTTATCTCTTGTCTCCACCCATTTGCTTTTGCTTACACTTAGATTGCAAGCCCTTTGGTGCAGGGACCAACTTTTTATGTCCATTAACAAGAATGCAGGGCCCCTCATTCAAGTTCTTATATTTTTACAATAATACAAGTAATGAAAAGGTACTATGAGTTTGATCATTCTTTGTCTGAATTTTATTGACTTGTCCTTTTAGAGAGCTCATTGTGCCATATGTACTGACCGAATATGGGGCCTGGGGCGTCAGGGCTATAAGTGCATCAACTGCAAACTCCTTGTTCACAAGAAGTGTCACAAACTTGTCAACATTGAATGTGGTCGCCATGCACTTCCACCGGTAAGTGAACTTCATCTAATCACTCCTCTGAAACAAAACACTACAGAATAGTGACTTGAGCATGGAGCGTGTAACTACAACATTGAGATTCTTTGTGATTACCGGAGAGGTGCTGATAGTTGTATTTCACTTTGCTTCTCAGGAATAAAATGTACTCTTCCACCATTAATTTCACTGATGCTAGTTGTACTCCTCTAATGATATGCAAACATGTTAGGTAAGAAATATCTCCATTTTCAGGAAAAAAAACTTGGGCAAAGAAACTGATTTGTCTAAAGCTACCCAGTAAGTTAGCAGTGTTTAGTTCCTAGGCCTCATGATCCAGTACAGTGGTCAGCAACCTACAGCCCGCAGAATCTTTGGATCTGGTCCTCAGACGTGGGACTTCAGGTTCTGTATTCTGTGGGGTGCCTTCTGCTGTAGTGGGGGGACAAACACTGGCAGCAGCAGGGTCCTAGTGCCCACCCATCCATCTCTGACCCAACTCTTACCTACAGCCAGAAAAGGTTGCCCCTACTCTTGATGTAGTAGATTCCCTAGAGTCTGCTGGAGTTTGCTAATTAGCATGCTCCAGCAGCCTCTGCTGCTTGTGTATTCAGCGTCCCTGTGTTTCAAAATGGCAGTGGGGCACTTTAACTAAAGCTCTTCAAATGAGCTTTAGTTAAAGCACCCCTGCTGTCATTTTGAAGTGCAGGATGCTGAATACACATGAAGCTGCGGTCGCTTTAATTAGAGCACCTCTCAGAGCCTCTCTAATTAAAGTGCCTCCCCGCACTCCCCAACTCCGGAGCATGTGTATAACCTCAGTTCATAGCTGTGAATTCAATTTGTTGTAATTTGGCTGTCCCTGGAATAGTCAATAGATAGAAATGTTATTTGAGGACAAAGAAAAAACTCTTACCCTTTCATAGCCAGTCACTGTAACTTCCTCTGCCCAGGTGAGTGGGAGAAGGAGAATTGGAAAAGTGCTAGTTTCTCCACGCATTTCTAGTAACTAACTGAATTCAATGCCATATGGCTGTTGCTTGATTTAGTAAAAAACCTAACTGTTTTGGTCCTTAAAGATTACCCACAGTACACTCTTTTACTAGAAAGAGACTTAGTAACCTGGAATCCCCTTTTCAAAGAGCTTGAGTTTCTCAGACTCAAAAGGGTAACTGCTTGTGTTGATCCTTCTACAAATTCAGTCCCAAAGCCAGATTACATTGTATTAATCTGTAATTGGTAAACTATATAAACCATTACTCTGAATATTTTCAGGAGCCTATAATACCTATGGATCAATCATCAGTGCATCCAGATAACATAGAACCAGGTAAAGCTAATACATTAAGTACTCTTTAAAGTACCTGAAATTGCTGGAATTTAATCAGTTAAAATTTTGTTTTTAAACTCATCATAATGAAAATAAAACGTTTTACAAGGAATAACTGTAAGCTATTATTAAAATGACACTAGTTAGTTGTGTTCAGGGGAAAAAGGAATGAAGTCTGTTTAAGAAAAAATTATGAAGATGGAGAACAAATATGACCCACCTGATGTTTTAGATTTACACTTCATTAAGAGGGTTTATAAAAATAGTTTGCGGTTCTGTGTAACACTATAAATAATTTAGTTAGCTATAATTAGAATTGATATCTAGTCATATCTCCTAGATCAGTGTCCCAGATGCCTCACCATATTATTCCTTGTATATGTAAGATTGGTAGTCATCACATTTGGAATTTGAATCTAGTTCCCATTAGACCTGTATGAAGCAGCTAGTTTTTGATTTAGATTTGGCCAGTTTGAGGGACAGTGATTTGATTCGGTGATTCGAATCACTGTCCGGAATCGATTCAGCTGAATCTGATTTGGAGATTCAGCTGCTGCTGAAACTCAGAATCAAACAGGCACCTCCTCTGCCTGGCCCCAGTGTCCGGGCTCTTAAAGCCCTGCACTCACTGGCTCCTGCCAGGCAGGGGGGAGATCCCTGCTACCCCTGCTGCCCTGCGGTGTGTGGGGGGGACACTGCTATGAGCCCCCAGTGGCTCTGATGGTTGCTGCAGGAGCCAGTGAGTGCAGGACTTTTTTTTTTTTTTTTTTTTTTAAGAACCAGGAGCTGGATCCAGGTGGGGCAGCTATCGATGGGGCTGGTAGAGCAGGTTGGAGATGGGGGCTCTGGTAGAGCCCTCACACACAGCGTGTGGCAGTGGGGGGCACCAGGGATTGCACAGCTGCGGCGCCCCCCCCCCGGCCCCCCAGCAGGAGCCGGTGAATGCGGGGCTTTTTTAAGCACCAGGACGCTAGGGCCCGGCAGGGCAGCCATTGACATGGCTGGGAGAGCAGACAGGGGTGGGCACTCAAGGGGGCTGGGGGAGCAGGCAGGAGATGGGACCTTGCAGGGGTCCTCCCATGGTCCCCTTTCCCCCTCTTCTGCTGCTGCCGCGCCCCGCCCCCCCTCCCCGCCTACTTCACGGCACGGAGTCCAGGTCTAGCAGCGAGTGGAGACTGCCCGGAAAGCTCTCCAAATGTTTTCCAAATCAATTTGGAGAGCTTTGAATCGATTCAGACCTTTTTATTGGTCCCTGATTCGATTCAGATGTGGAGATTCAGCCACTGAATCGACCGACTCTTCTTCAAATCGAATCAGCACCAGAAGCTTCGCACAGCCATAGTTACTATTAGGAGCGTACAAAACTGGCCCTATTCGATTCGGATTTGGATTTGGCCTGAATCCGATTCGATTTGTTGATTTGTATCACTGTCCCTGATTTGATTTGGCCGAATCTGAAGATTCGATGCTGATTCAGTGAATCAGCAATTCAGACAGGAACGCAGCTTAAATGTTTTTTCTAGATACTTCGAGGTACCAGGCGCAGCTCGTGAATGCTACGGTGCTGGGGTGAATGGGGCATCCCACAGGAGTGCGGGGGAGCCCACCCCGCGTGCTCGGCGGCAAACCCAGAAGTGGACCGGAAGTACTTTTGGTCCACTTTTGAGTCCACCAGGGAGTTGGCGATCAGCCATGGGAGGACCCCAGGTGCCTTCCCAAACCCAGGAGGCACCAGACGCCGAGCTGGGGGGGTGCGGTGGGGGGCCCGGCGCTCTCCCTGGTGGACCTGGAAGTGGACCAGAAGTGCTTCTGATCCACTTCCTGGTCTGCTGTCGAGCATGCTGGGGGCCCCCCGCCCTCCTGTGGAAGGTTCCATCTGCCCCAGCATCACAGCATTTACGAGCTGCCTGCTACCTAGAGGTATGTAGAAAAAACATTTAAAGCTGTGTCTATGTCCGAATTGCTGAATCTCTCCAAATCGATTTGGAAGGTTCCAATTTGATTTGGAGAGATTAAAGGGTCTCCTGATTCAATTCGGAGATTCAGCCACTGAATCAGGCTGAATCTCTGTCGAATCAAATCAGGGACTGAAGCTTTGCGCAGCCCTCGTTACTATTACAACTACAGGACACAAAGGAAGTCAGTTTGTACTGTACCATTGCCCAAGTCTGTAGAAAGCACTGCATGAGAGCTCTGTGCAGATAAAGCAAGATGTCATACTTCCATAGGTCAGAATTTTAAAATTTATAATAATGTTCTAATCGGCAGTGGGCAATTGATGAAAGAATTAATATGGATATTCAAAAAGGTTTAGCTGGTAAAATAAATTTAACTAATCTAGCACTGGTGCCTTCTGGGCAATAGAAAGTATCTCTGGTCTTAATTTTAATGCATATATTGAATACTTCTTTTGCTTTGTTCCCCTAGTAATTCCATATAATCCTTCAAGTCATGAAAGTTTGGATCATGTTGGTGAAGAAAAAGAGGTAATGTCTTAGTATTCCAGTTTAAGAGATGATATGGTCCTTGAATAGCTTCCTACCATCAGCATCTTTACAATTATAAATCCTAATGATTTGGACATTGACACACATGTAAACTATACTGAAGCCATCGACTCGTACAGTTTTCAAACTTGTCCACTTGTGAGATTATATAGATTGGAGTTGTACAGAATTCTAGGTGCAGTAAAAATCTTTAAAACATCTCTAATCTCTACTCCCTGGTAGTTTTAATATTAAAATTCAAAGCAGTTTTGAGAAAAATAAAGGATAACTATTAATCGTTATTGCAGCAGAATAACTGTATAAACCATGTGAGCCTCATTCTCTCAAAGAACTGTGGTTAATAATGTAGTAGTAATAAGTTTGCTCAATTATTTTAATCTTTCTTAATAGGCAATGAGCATTAGAGAAAGTGGCAAAGCTTCCTCTAGTCTGGGCCTTCAGGATTTTGATCTGCTCCGGGTAATTGGAAGAGGCAGCTATGCTAAAGTACTTCTTGTTCGATTAAAGAAAACTGAACGTATTTATGCAATGAAAGTTGTGAAGAAAGAACTAGTCAATGATGATGAGGTAAGAAATGCTTGTAGGAGTGGAGCAGACAGCTCTTTCTTTGGAGAATTTGCATCTGGTGTTCATACATTAGGCTTGCAGTTTCACTATATTCAGAGATTTGTCTAAATGCATGTTGGCTTTTTTTTTTTCTTCAAATAAATAATATTGAAAGCTCATGGAACAGGCTACCACATTTAGATCTTCATTGGCATGTTTGTAACTGACTGAATTTCCAGGTTTGACTTTTATAATATGAGCTTCAGTTATTCCCTTGAAGGAGAATACTAAGAAGCTATGTTCTCTGACAGTTGGCCTCCCTTTGTAAACTTCAGTATTGGCATGTCAGTTATTAGTTTGGAGTCCATATTGCCTGTGACTACAACAGAATTTCCTCATAAATTTCATTTAAAGGACCTATTAATTGCAAATATGTGGGAGGGTGTAGGACTTTGTAGATATTGCTGAAGGCCTACCAGTCCCTACAGAATGCTTTATTGGTGATAGTTATGTAGATAACTTGGCTTGATTTGCATTTTCTGTGCTGAGTTTGTGACGCATGTAGTTAAGAAAAGCTTCTTAACTAAACTAAACTGAGAATTCTTAATATATCAAGTCACTTAGACCAAACAGGGAACACCACATTGCAAGTTTAATTGCTTTTTTGACTGGAGCTTCATTTCAATGTGTCTTAACATTTGTGAAGTCTTTGATTATGACTTGAGTACCTACTTTAATATGAGGCACCCATTTTGACAAATATAAGGTGTGGACGAACATCCATTATTCCTTATGGTTTTACTTTAGTGTACATATTCAGAATCAAGCTTCATTTTCAGTGCTTTTCTTACCCATAAACTCTTCAAGCTCTACCCATTAATTCCTCAGCCCTTGTGTTACTTCACCTTTCTCTACTCAGACTTTCAGTTTTTCTGATGGGGATGATCTTCTGTTATTAGTGTTCTGAAAATGCAGTCTTCATACATATGTACCATAATTAAAGTGAAAGAGTTGTAGACAACATTAGGTAGTCTCTTATTTTGGTAACTGAGTTGTCTAATGCAGAGGTAAACTGATCAAAGGAATTAAACTGTGAGTTATCTAATATTTTTTTCCTAAAGCTAAGGAGAGATGTAAATGTTTCTCTGTGTGTCTGATAATTCTAAGAAAAATATTTTCTGAGCTTGAAATTTTTTTTAAACAGGACATTGATTGGGTTCAGACAGAGAAACATGTGTTTGAACAGGCTTCTAATCATCCCTTCCTTGTTGGACTGCACTCTTGCTTCCAGACAGAAAGCAGGTAAAAGTCAGACACTTACCACAAAAGATATTCTATTGTTATTCCAAAGTGTTACCGAAACTCCTGGGTATGGATCAACTGTTAAAAAGAATGAGGAAGTGATAGTGCAAAATACAATGCTAAGATTACTGGCCCTGGACAAAGTAAGAGTAGTTTGAGGAAAGACGAAAAGTTGAATTTTGAAACTTATTAAGATGCGTGTGATTGTTGCGTAGAAAAGTAGATATGGTAATTGAACATAACTGCAAAGGCATGCAGTATCTTCTGTATGTGCAGGAGATGGAATCATACATACATTTGATAAAATGATCACAATAATAGTTAGAGAGTAAAAGGTTAATTAGTTTCTTTCATCAGGAAAGGAAACCCCAGAAGAAATTGTATATGTTGACTCTTTACATGGGGTTTCACTGCTTGAAGAGAGCACTGAAAGGAAATGGAAATGTGCCAATACTTTCATGGCGTAGGCCAGCCGTATTATATAGGGGAGGGAAGGAGGAATCTTGCCAGATAGTGGTAATTCTGTTTTTTAAAGGGTCCAAAAACAGAACAACAACAAAGGCTGTACGCATAGCTGAAACAATCACTTATGTAATATACCTTTTGTGTTTCAGACTATTTTTTGTTATAGAATATGTCAATGGAGGAGACTTAATGTTTCATATGCAGCGGCAGAGGAAATTGCCAGAGGAGCATGCCAGGTATGTTTTAATTTAGGATATTTTTTCCCCCCACAAGAAATTGGGTTTTCTGATGTGATGTTTCAGTTCTAAACCTATGCTGATCAGCCACAAGAAGGCCCCAAGAGGTACAGGCAGGGCAATTTCATGCTGGTTGGAGCAGCAGCTTCAGCTCCTCAGTGTGTTGCATACATGATACCATCAAGTCTTGGTGGTGTATATAGCCTTCTATCACAGAGTCTACAACTACATACTACCTTTCGTCCCATGATCATATGGCCAGGCAAGGAACAAGCAAGCATTGGAGGACATGATCTGGCCTATTTAATGAAAGGCCAGCAAAAGTACCTGTTTTCCAAAGCTAAAGGGAAGCACCACTAGATGTGATTTGCTAAACACAAGGATGACTTGTATTGAAGTCCTAGAGAAGTGGATAGGGACAGTTAACCACTTGAGAGCAGGAGAAACCTGTACTTCCTAAGGGTGGAAAAAGCTTGGGTTGAACATACCCTGCATCTGAAGTTTACATTTAGTTCCTAAGCAGGCATGACCAAAGTGTGATGGCTTTTATGCAGCTATAAGTACAGCTTGAGGTTTGGTGGAGAGGCTAGAGACTAGATCTGTACTTGAATATAGTGGTTTGCAGTAGCCTGCTTACAGAACTTGCAGTGCTTTAGTGAGAGAGCTGGTTTGTACTGTTTGCTTCTATGGTGACTCTCATGAGCTGCCATGTAGCATGTGACAGCCAACCTCACCACTAGCAACTGAAGGAGAAAAGTCTAGTACAGCACTGAACCAGCATGGGTTAACACAAAATATTTACTCGCTGACTTCATCAGCATTTCTGATGCTAAGGGGTCCTATGAGGTAGCTTCTCAAGGAAGTGGGGAGAGGGGTCACTAACAGATAGTTTGGAGCAGTGTCAGTGCAGTCTGGGTGCCAGTAGACTCAAGAGGCTTCAGGGCTGTCCTCAAAGGTGAGAGAACAGTTTGGACTCTGTTCTGATCTGGTCGCTGCTCTGTGGGGATATTCTCTGGTCCTTGCTTTGGTTCCTGTGGCAGGGCCTGTTACACCTTAACCCCATTACCACCTTGTGTGGTGAGTTCAGGGACTTCCTTTTTATGTGATGGGCTGGAGTGCATGTTGGCAGCAGCAGTTGGCAGATGCATAGCAAAAGTTCTTAAGCTGAGGACATGGAAATATTTAAGGGGAAGGTCCTCTGCTGGAACAGTGAATTAGGCAAGAAATGGCTTTTTTTCTGGCTCTACCCCTTTTAAAATATAGCATACAATCATTTCCAGTCATTGTAAATTGGAGCAGTTGAGGGTGAAGATGTGGCCAGAGTGGAGAATGCAAAGCAGGATGGGATATTAGTGAACTACTCCTCCAAACTGGAGGGGGGAGAGGGGGGTTGTACACCAATATATCCTATATATCTGGAATGCACCCTGAATCCTCCAAATCCAGCTAATAAGGATTATTTGGGTAATTATCATATGGACAGCCAGAGGGATGAGTTATAAGAAACAGTCAGAGAGCTTGTGATGGGCCTGAATGAATTCAAGTCAGCAGGGTCTGATGAGTTTCAGGGTACTGAAGGAACTGGTAGAATAAATCTCAGAGTCCTTGGCAATAATATTTACAAAGTTTTGGGAGATGAGCAAGATACCAGATGTCTGGAAAGGGCCAACATAGTGCCCCTCTTTAGAGAAGGCTTAAAGGGAGGACACAGGGAACTACAGACCAGTTAGCCTCACCTCAATGTCTGGGAAGTTCCTGGAGCATATTATAAGGAAGTCTGTGTGCAAGCATCTGGATGAGGAAAGGTTGATCACAAGCAGCCAGCATGGGTTTATGAAGAGCAAATAATGCCAAACAAACTTAATCTCCTTCTTCAACAGAGTAACTACTTGAGTGGATGAAGGGAATTCAGTAGATATACTATATTCAGACTTGTCAAGGCTTTTGACAGAGTCCCACATGACCCTCTCATAAATAAAGTGGAGGCATGTGGGATAGACAGAACTGCTATAAGGTGGATAGAAAATTGGCTCAATAACTGCAAGCAAAGGGTAAATTACAAATGGATCCATGCCAGAGTGGCAGGAGGTTTCAGGTGGAGTCCCAGAGGGATCTCTGCTGGGCCCAGTGCCTTTTAACATGTTTACTAATTATTTGGATGGTGAAATAGAGAGCTTCTTGAGCAGATTTGCAGATGACACAAAACTGGGAAGGATAGTGAACACTGAGGACAGGAGTACAATGCAGAATGATTGTGATGGATTGGAAAGCTGGGCTAGAGCTAACGCTGAAATTCAGTGCCAGCATATACAAGGTCTTATACCTTAAGAAGAATAATTGAAAACACGGATACAAAATGGATGACACCTGGCTGGATGGCAGCATGACAGGGAAAGATTTAGGAGTCTTCGTGGATCACAGACTCAAAATGCATGTGCAGTGTGACGTAGCTGCACAAAAAGCAACTGTGATTTTTGGACCGGATCAGTACAAGCATTAAGTGCAAGACACGTGAGGTGATAGTGCCTCTTAGTGCTGGTTAGGCCTCAGCTAGAGTAGTGTGCATTTTTGGGCTCATCATTTTAAAAAGGACATGGAAAAGTTAGACAGGGCCTAGAGGCAGGCAACAAAAATGATAAAAAGACGTAGAAGACAAGTCATATGAAGGGCAGTAGCAAATAGTTATTTTGGAGGAAATTGACATAAAGGAAATAGGCATGTTGAGCTTGCAGAAAAGGTGCTTAAGAGGGAACTTTATAGCAGTCTTCAAATATCTGAAAGGAAAACATTTTCTCTTACTACAGAGCAGAACGTGGAGCAGTGGCTATAAGTTGCAGCAAAGTAGGTTTAGAATGGATATCGGTAAAAACTTCTTCCCTCTTAGAACAGTGAGGCAATGGAGTAGACTGCCTAGGGAAGTTGTGGAATCTCATCACTGGAGGTGTTCAAGAAGAGATTGGACAAGCATTGGTCAGTGGTGATCTAGGAATAGCTATGCCTATGCTATGCTATGGGTGTTTCCCACACTTCTGGGCTTCAGTGGTTGCTGCATGGGGCCGGGAAGGAATCTTTTTTCCCCTTTCCTGCCACTGTATGTTTGTTAGGGGGCGCGTTTCACCTTTCTCAGAAGCATTGGGTGTTCGCTAGAGTCAAGGCTGGGGATTTTGACTGAGATGTGCCAGTGCTTTGCCAGTGCTCCTGCTGGGATATAAAGCTGGAGGTTGCTGGCTAGAGGGTCTTGCCTCACTGCTCAGGGTCAGTTCAGTTGCCATATTTGGGGTCAGGGTTAGATTGGTACAGACTGTGGGGTTTTGTCATACTCTGTAGGGGGGGCATGGTCTTTGGATCTCAAGTGTATTTTAACAACCCTCAGAGTAGCAGGATGTTGGCCACCATTGTCTTCCTGCTTCACTTACATTCACTCGGAAGGTTGCTTTCTTGCTTCACTATGGATTATTCTGAAGTGACTTGATTATGAAGTACTGAAGAGTGTTTATCTAAAAAGCATCTTTCTTCATTTCTAGGTTTTATTCTGCAGAAATCAGCCTAGCATTAAACTACCTGCATGAAAGAGGGATAATCTACAGAGATTTGAAACTGGACAATGTATTACTGGATTCTGAGGGACACATTAAACTCACAGATTATGGCATGTGCAAGGTGAGGGGAAAATTAACTTCCAGACAAATACAATGCGACACTTTCAGGTACCTTCTCTGTAATTTATTATAGTATCTTTCTAGCTGGATTTAAGTCTGTTGCATCAACTTGCATACACCTCAGGTAGAACAAAAAGATGTATACAGTCTGCAGATGAAGAAAGCAGGAAAAATATTATTCAAAGAAAGACTACGCACACATTTCAAATTAAGATTTCAGTTGTGTATATAATATGTAAACAAGATAGTTCCCAGTGTGACAATTTATTAACTCTGGCATTTTTGTATAATCCCCTTGATACCAGTACTTCAACCCTATGCTGTTACATGACTTAAAAAAAACCTTTTATTTGATGTGCTGGTTCAATAATGGCAGGTTGTTTTTGTTTTGTTTTTTAAGTAAACTCTGAAGTGATCATTCCTATGTTCAGTGACACATAATATCCTGCTATTTTGATATGATCAACTCTGCTAAACCACCTCTGTAAATAAGGGTTTGAACTAGACATACAGAGTGCCAGTCTTGCATACTAGAATAAAAGGATTTATTTAAACCGGACTTTGAACTTTTTTTCATTTTAGTCTCCACCGGACCTTTGTTATTAGATCAGTTTTATATTGACTGGATAATAGAAATATTCAGTAGTCTGAATTTCTTTGGACTTTGTCTTTGAGTGGTTTCAGCTTTTGTTATTAAATAAAACTAGGTTTGCACTGGAACTTCAGTTTTACTATAAACATTTTAAATCTATTTTGCTTTGTGTGCAATAGAATAGAATTGCAAATCATTATATCCTCAACTCTTTTTCCTAATTTAAGATGACTCCATGTAAAACACATTTTTTAACAAACATGCATTTAATATGCTGTTTTTGTAGCTTAAATTAAACATCTAAAAGGAGTAAAATAGCTTCATTCTTTAAGAATGCTTAAAACAGCATATTCAGACAGGTATAATGAAGATGCACAGCTTTTCTCAACACATTGTGCACTCTACGCTCTGCATAAATTTCATCTCTAAAGATAGCACTTTGCATACAGATTACATACAGATCTATTTAAGACTAACTAATGATTTATTTTTTACAGGGCTTTTTTACATAAAAACTGGTCACATCTACTTGTGCAATTAATGCAACTAAATATACTAATCCCAACGTCACCATCTACCTGTGTATATAAGGGCAGTAATTTACAGTGGCGTAAGATATCTGGCAGGACTATCCTACACCAGAGTAAATTAATCTACTGTGCATTAATTACAGCGCATGTGTAGATGGTGACACTTTACTGTGCATTAAATTAATCTAATATACAGTAAAGTGCATGTGTAGATGTTCCCACAAAGTATGGTAAGGAATTTTTGGTTAACTAAAACTCTGTTTTTCCCCTGACCCTTATTTTCTTTTCTGAAGGAAGGGTTAAGGCCTGGAGATACAACCAGCACTTTCTGTGGGACTCCCAACTACATTGCTCCTGAGATCTTGCGAGGAGAGGATTATGGTAATTTGACTTAACGCAGTGCTATGTCATGAAGTACACTAGAGCTTGGTGCATTTGTTATTTAATAAATAAGCAAAGGAAATGGTCAAAATGAAACTACTGAAAGGCGGGTGTATAACTGACTGGATAATCAGGGATGGGGGAAGATGGAGTGGGGGTGAGACAGGAGAGTTGGTGACCTGGGGCAGTGAGTACTCCTGTCCTTTTAAAGGGGGTTCCCTCTCAAGCTGCCTGCTGCTGCCTCGACCCTCCCTGCTCTGTGCTGAGGGCTGGTCTCTTGCAGTGACCCTCAGAAAGCGGATACCCCATGCGAGGGGGTAGGGGGCAGCGGGAGGGGGAATGAGAGAGACCATCCTTCAGCACAGAGCATGGAAGGCTGAGTATCCTGCAGAAGGGATGAGCAGCCTGTGCTGACCCACTATCCTAAAAGGTTGCTGATCTCTGCATTTGGGATCTAACTCCTTGACATTCTACAACAATGAATTCCATAGTTAAATTATACCCTGGTAGAAAAAAAGTATTTAATAGCTTTGGAATTTTCTGCCTCTTTTTTTTTTAATTTAATTGAATATTTCCCTGTGCTGCTAGAGAGAAGTAGCACCTAATCTATAGCATTGGGTTTTCTTGTTATGTCTCAATTCCTCTTTTAAGGCAAGCAGTTCTATCCTTTCTTGTCTTTCAGGTAAATTTATCTTTTTCTCTTCTCTTCTGGTAAATCAGCTGTTTCTTCAGAATTAGGTCATTTGCCTTTTTTTTTTTTTTTTTTTCTTCCTTCTACCATTGCAGCTTTCTAACTTAAACACAAGTGTTACATCACAGAAACTGTCAAGTAAACTGGTACTTAAGCAACTTAAAATGTTTCATTCATTTAAATGAGTGAATAGAATGTATGCCTGTTGTAATAACATACACCAAGTGTATAAAAAATATATATATGGTAGATATCTCATCCAGCACATCACTGTATTCTTGAGGACAGAGTAAATTTCCAGGTAGCTTGGCTATAGCTGTAGTTCACAATGAAATGTTTCAGTAATTCCTTCTTGATGAAAGAGGTTTAATACTGTTTGCTTTTAAATCCTAGGATTCAGCGTAGACTGGTGGGCACTGGGTGTACTTATGTTTGAAATGATGGCAGGAAGATCACCATTTGACATTGTTGGAAGCTCTGATAACCCTGATCAGAACACGGAGGATTATCTCTTTCAAGGTGAGCACCCACACATGTAAAATATACTGGTAGGTGGGCTTTTTTTACTACTTTAACAAAACAAAACAAAACAAAACAAAACACCCCTCCCCCCCAAACTTGCAAAATTCTGACTCCCTAATTTTTTTTCCTTACAGTTATTTTGGAAAAGCAAATACGTATTCCACGATCCCTCTCTGTTAAAGCAGCAAGTGTTCTAAAAAGTTTTCTTAACAAGGTAAGATCTAGAACCATATACTTTAACTGAGAACAAGGGAAAAATGGGGGTGTGTTGAGGTTTTTTCCCCCTCTTTTAATTGGTATGTAGCTGACATCCAAATAGACCTCTGGTAGAAGTCTGGTAGACAGGGTTTTAGCCTGGAAAGGATAGGCCCAAAACAAAACTCTTACAACTAAAAACCCATGGCATCAATGTGTCACCTCTGTTTTTGAAACTTGAAACTTTTCAGATACTCAACCCAAAATAAGAAGCTTAGAAATGCACTAAATATATCTATTTATCATTTTCCCTGAAGTTTCTTTCTACATTTAAATCATTCTTAATTATTTCATATTTCATCATCTGCTAGATGGTTGATGGAAGAAGTAATGGGATTCTTCTAACAACTCTGTTTCAAAGCAGAACATTTTACAGGTGATCCTTTTTTAAAAAGCCAGTTAACTTACTTTTGAACAAAGATTACTCCCTCTACCTAATTTGTGTATTGTATTAGTTGAACTATTCTCTTTGGCTTTTAAATTACTTTGAATCTAGTCTTAGATGCACAATTTCAATGTTGTATACAAAACTGACGTAAACAGTCTACTGCCCATGTATCCCCACTTGTTTTCATAGTATTGACATTTCATCTCTAACTTTGCTGCACCTGAATGAGAGCTAACCTGTAGATATTTATGAATAGGTTAGGTTTGTTAGGCTTTCTCCTTTAATTTTTTTTCGTTTTAGACCATAACCAGCTTATTTGGGCCATGAACTATGTCATGTACCTTTTTTCCTTTTAATTTCCACAAGATAGCGTAACACAAGAAATGACACATTTTCTACTTTCCTCTATTTACAGCAAAACCTGTAATGAGTAACATCTTATGCATTTGGTCTCTGGCACCCATTTGCAAAATGATTTGACACTTTAAAACATTCTGTCTTCCATAGGATCCAAAAGAACGTTTAGGCTGCCATCCTCAAACAGGATTTGCAGATATTCAGGGACATCCATTCTTCCGCAACGTTGACTGGGATCTGGTACGTAAATGTTTCGAGTCTTCTGTTTGTACAGTTCAGATGTGAGGGCATGTCTTTGCTGAAACAAAGCAGGGTCAGCACTTTATAGCCAGATAAATTTTTAAATAGTAAATTTACATATGATAGGGAAATGATAGAGAGGAATATGAAGATTCCATAGGCTCTTCTTACATATAGTAACCATAGACATGTACTGCAGTAAAGTAATGTATTATTTGCCAAAAAAAGGTAATTTAACAATAATCTTCAACCTTGTTTAAACAAAAGTGCTGTTGAATAAGTTGTAACTCTTGTAACTCATATTTTTTATCTTGGAATAATTTTATTTCTAGATGGAACAAAAACAAGTGGTTCCTCCATTTAAACCAAATATATCAGGGGAGTTTGGTCTGGATAACTTTGATTCCCAATTCACTAATGAACCAGTGCAGCTCACTCCAGATGATGAGTAAGTATCAAGTATATTACAGTGTTTTTGAAATTTTGAATTTGAGTTGCTAACTAATAAAGATGTGTATTTCATATGGGTAACTATATCACACTTTCTAATGCTGGGGCTAGGAATTCCATTCAGAGTGTAACTTTACACTTGCAAAATCTGGTCCATTTTTACCAAGATTCATAAAGGGGGAGGGAGAACCTTTAGGTATAGGAAAGATGCTCCGGAGAAGCTTGAAATGTGGAAAGGGTAAATAATTTCTGCTTTAAAGTTTGAGTCTTTTATGTATTTCCCCTTAGGAAACATTTGTCTAATATAAAAATTCACATTTCCACATGATCTATTTTTATAAATTTTATTGCATCCAAATTTCAATGAACTTTCCTGGATTTTGAAGTCAAAGAACTTGCCTCATGAATCTACTGAGAATTCCTTGATGGGAAAGGATTTTTTTTTTAAACTGGCTAGTTTTCAGTGTAATGAAAAACCTTGTTAAGATGCAGTGTAATACATTTGAAACTAACAGTGTAGATGAGGCTTCCTACCACCAAAGCCTGAAATACAAAGGTAGGTCAAATTTAAATAAATTTAAAAAACAAAGAAACAAAACTTCATCCTTCTACAGCTTGGCTGCATAAGACATCCTTAATATGGAACATACTAAGGATCTCTTACCCTTATTGGCAACTTCATTGGTTGCTCTACTTCGATTGAGTGGCTGATCCTATTTCGATGCCAGGGGGAGGACCAGAAAATGGTAGGAGTGGACTGGGAAAATAGGGCTGATGTAGGGGAACAGAAGGGAGAGGGAGCAAGTTCCTAATGGCAGAGTGCTACAGAATGGCCGTGTCTACATGTGCATTTACTGCGCAGTAAGCAGGTTTATGCTGGCATCTACATGTGTAGGCATTTAAAGCTCAGTAATGCTGTGTGAGGACCAACTTGAGACTACAGTTAGTCTACACACAATGTCACTGTGCAGTAAGGCGTTACTGCACAGTAACTAAATTGGTGTAAATTTGATACCTGCTTCATGCAGGTATCAAATTTATGCCCAAGTCAGCGTAAGTCACCATATTTGCTGCATAGTATGGGCGTGCACATGTAGATGCTGCCTGTACTGTGTGGCAATTTTTGGGTATTGTACAGTAAATGCGCATATATAGACATGCCCAATATGTCCCCTTGAGACAAACTGTGTATGTTTGTTTTGTTTTATACAACTGCCATTCTTAGTTTAGTAATATTGTAAGTAGCAATGTTTTTGACTCAAGATAGTAACTAGTTTTTATTTTAACAGTGATATTGTGAAGAAGATCGACCAGTCGGAATTTGAAGGTTTTGAATATATCAATCCGCTTTTGATGTCAGCTGAGGAATGTGTCTGATCTTCCTCTTCTAGACTGTGCCATTTGTTGCGTTATACTGTTTTCTGCATGGATAAGCAACTTGTTGTTTGGATGCACTTGCATAGAATGGTTAACTGACTATTTTATCTGTGCCACTAACTGTGGTTTATTCACTGATTCTCAGCATTCATTGTTGCAGCCAGCTACTGTGCAGCACTTGCTCTGGGTTGCACAAAAATTTAAAATGTTTTTTCAACAATCTTGCCAAAGTTGAATTGTAATAAATAATCTGGTATATAGGGTGCCTAAATGATGTAGTGAATTTTGCTGTATAATCTGCTGATTGTGTAATGTAGCTATGTATTTTGAAGAAAAACCTTGGTACTGCTTTTCAAGAGTTCATTTTGCATCCAGTCACATAATAAAATAGTACTAAATAGCTTCCATACTCTTGGCAAGATTAAGGTACTAGGTCTGGTAACTTGTAAGATTCTACCTTTTCCCTTCCTTGCTTCTCCTCCCCACCCCACCTTGTTTTTCCTTATCATTTCTAGATGACAGTGGAAGCTGAAGTGTTGTCCCTGCAGACTCAAATAACACTAGGACAGCTGTTCTTTTAGAACAAAAATGTAACTGCTGTCTTGGAATAGGAAACATTTGATTCATCCCAGGGGATGATCATCATAGAACTGGTAGATTACACTCCTCAGTTTATTTCTGACTGGTAACTAGGAATAACATTAAAAAGGCTTTGGTATGTGAAAAGCACGTGCCTTTCTGAGCCTGTCCTTTTCATCAAGGGTATTAGTGTATAAAGTGTCAGCGTAAATGAGTAGAATAAGTTCATACTTGTAAAAAAAGAAAAAACTAGGATTACTGGTGGAAATGGGCAGCTAATATTTGAGAATGTAGGACTTCATGTTATAGGGCACGTTTACACATGCTCCAGGGGTGGAGGGTGGTGCTTTCATAATTGGAGCGGCTCTTGGAGCCTCTTTGATTAAAGTGTCGCAGTGTCCCATGTATCGGCATCCTCGCACTTCAAAATAGCGGTAACGGCACTTGAAGTAAAGCTCGTTCAACAAGCTTTAGTTCAAGTGCCCTGCTGCTATTTTGAAGTACAGGGATGCTGATACATGAGACAGGCTGCTAGAGCACTGTAATTACCATGCTTCAGCAGACTCAATTTAATCAAGTCTGCTCCGACACACTATAATTACAGTGTGTCAGAGCAGCCTCTGTGCTTGTGTACAGGCACCCATAATTCTTTAATTTTATAGATGCTCCTTTGGCAGATCAGAAATTGTTATCTTACAGCCTACATAAGGAGGAGTCTCATTGCCATCCTGCTTGAAAAACATTCCATTATGCCAGTAGAAAAAGGCATGTTTCTGTGTTACCCCAGTATCTAAAAAAGGAGTGCCCTCACAGTGGCTCTCTTACTCTTATTCTGGATATATATTATTATAATATCACTACATATTGTAATCTCTAAATACTAAGAGTCTATAATGGACTCAGATGAACTAACTGACAAAGCAATTAGAAAATAGAGTAACTAAATTGAGTTAACTTGCTTGAAGGTATCATTCTTTTGTCTGTCATGTTGATAGCTAATGTAATATACACTACAGAGAGAGCTAAATTGTCAAACTATTTTGTTTGAATTTTTGAGGAATTTCTTTGGCTGAAGGGATGCCAAATCTGTTTTATTCTGATTTTAACACTTTTTAAAGGAAAAGGGATTTTAGGAGAGAGGTAATCAATTTGTATTATGCAAGGAAAAGCTGTGAGCTAACATGCTAAGTATTAGTAAAAGCAGAATTATTAATGTTCTGCAAACAGAACTTAGCAAGAATCATCTGAAGTTTTAATGAGCCTTCTTCTCTGCTGCTGAAAATTTATAGAGCATCAAGATTATCAATTTATAGCATCAAAATTGAAATGCCTTCAAACATGTACTTTTTTTCCTGAACTGACTAGTTAGCTTCACAGAGAACAATCAATACTACTTGGGGCCATAATACAGTACCTCGCTCAGACTTTTTTTCCCCCACACGGTCTTCTAATAAATCTCTCTAGAGTTAGGAAGCTAAACTTTCAAAATAAACAAGTAATTTTTGGGAAGTGCTGAGCTCATCTTTTATGAAAATCAAGCTCCTTTTAAGGTCAAATGGGTTACTTAAGCTTTACTGTGACATTTCAATTTTGTCTTCAAGGGCAGCCAGTGATTGTAATATCTTTAGAACTGCATCTAGGCAGTACTTGCTTCACAAAAGGAATATTTGTGATAATCTTGAAGTCTTTAGCTTCTGACTTCTAAAGTCAAGTCATCTCTGTGTAGAAGCCAGGAATGTGCTGGTATTAAAAGGCTGCTGTCTTAAATGAATTAACTTGCCCCTGCACAGGGGTATAACTTCATATAGGATATTCAATAAAATGTCTTTATATAGGGAAGTGCATTTTTGTTTTTCATTGTACACATTTAAGAATTAATGAATACTTTCATGTTTTGGGGTTTTTTCCATTCTTGAAGCAAAATAAAAGGTTTGTTTTTTGGGGGGCGCGGTTTACAGATAATGTTACAAAATATACACACTACTTCTTTTTATGAATCTTAACTTATGGTTGGCCTTCTGTTTCAGTATCATTTAGTTAACACAAAATGTGATAGATATTTTTAAAAGTTGTCACCGCAAGGTTTTTTTTTTTACTTTTTCATTTTTTTCCAAGCTAAGTGCCATGGCATTAACTGTTAACATTGAATTGTTAAGTGTGTAGTGGCTGTCTTAATATTCAGCAGGGAAATTGTGCACAGACAGTCAAGTACAGTAGGTTCTTGTTTTTGAAAGAATTAACTATCTACATCAGGTGCATGATGTGCTTTTGTTGAGTAAACCTCATTTTTGTATACAAACTGGGTGCTCTTCTAGTTAATACTGTACTGTTTTCACGTGGAATAATGTCTTGGATATTGTTGTGTAATCATTCCCTGTATCTGTGCATACTTTTTACTTTTAAATCTTTAAATAAAGCATTTATACTAGGCCTCAGTATTAACAACAGTTGAATAACTTGAGATGTTTTTGGGTTGTAGTTGGAGTCTCTCAATAGTTTATCCACAGCTGTTCTGCAAAGTAGCCCTACAAGTCTGTGTGGTATATATTTTACACAGTGGCTGTAGATCTTGGGGGACCCTTCTGAAATACTTACCCAACAAAAGAATACAGGAACAAATTTGCTTTTGGAAAAAGAGGAAGCAAAACAGGGACAGCAGGGATGATAACCATTTTTTGACAGGCTCAGTGGACTAAAAAAAGAATTAGCTATTTGAAGTTGTATTCTTTTGTGTGTTAAACTAGATTGGGAAAAGTGTGTGAATTCTGAAATCACGTCATACAAACAGCTATGGAGATCTATTCTGTTGGAACCAAACATGTTTAGTGCAAGTAGATCTTCTATTCTATATAGCTCTTCTCAGAAATGATGATTAAAAAAAGATAGCCTGACTTAAGGCTGCCAAATCACATTGCATTCAGCTCTGTTGTCTTGGATACACATCAAGGGCCTGACAGACGTGTTTCTTTAGACTAGAAGGAGAATGTCTTTGTTCGTTTGTTTGTGTGTAGTGTTGTTACTGCAAGGCCCTCCCCCCCCCCCAAAGTGGAGCACCCCAATGGCTTCTCAGAGATGAGGCCAAACACTAGTAAGCACATGGTTTTGGGATGCTATTTCATTATTTTGGGAACTGAATGTGGGAATTTGGGATTATATTCTTTATATTATTTAGGATTGCTCTTGAGTCCTGAGTTGCAAAGATGCTTGCTCTTTTCCTTTTTGATCCTATAGTGGATTCCTCTTGGTACAAGTTATCAACCTGTGAGTTGTAACCACTTTGTCCTTTCTCTATTTGCTAAATAAAAGGAAGTTTTGGAAGGATTCCATTGTGGAAAAGTTGAAGGACCGCTGCTCTAGAATTTAATTCAGGCTCAGATTTTGAGTGGTCTTACTTTTGAGTTGTCATTACCTGAGGAATGCCAATATTATCACCATTTTTAAAAAGAGAGAGAAGGATGACTCTGGAAACCGTCAAGGCATCATCCTCCTCTCCATCACTGGGAAGATTCTTGCTCAAATTCTGCTGAACTGACTGCTCCCTCTTGCCAAAGACATTTTTCCCATGTCTCTCAATGTGGCTTCAGCCCATCAAGAGACACTATGCACATGATTTTTTGTGGCCCAGAAGATCTAGGGGAAGTGCCAAGAACAACACCAGGAATCCTATATGGCCTTTAATCAATTTGACCAAAGCCTTTCACTCAACTGTGAGGCTCTATGGAAGACCTTACTGAAGTTGGCTAGCCAGGGAAACATATCACCATCCTAAGACTCCTTCATGACCAGATGTCTGTGTCCATCTTATGCAGTGGCTCCGCTACAGAGCCCTTTGCCATTTGAACTGGCATCAAGCAAGGCTGCATGATTGCACCAATTTTGTTTTCCATCTGTCTTGCAGTTATCAACATGCTCATCCGTGACTCTGCCACATGGCATTAGCATCAAGTACAGGATGAACAGGAACCTTTTCAATCTTCCCTGCCTCCATGCGGAAACCAAAGTTACATCAGCCTCAGTTGTGGAATTTCAGTACACTAATGATTCTGCTGTCATTACACATACTGAGCAGGACCTACAAATTCCCCTTAATTGCTTCTCTCAAGCATATCAGTGCTGAGGACTGGCCCCTTAATATAAAAAAAAACAAAGATACTTCACCAGTCTGCTCCAGACCAATTAACTCCCCCCGCAAAGATCCTTATTGATGGATAGGAGCTGGAGAATGTTGAACACTTTTTTCATACCTTGGCAGCCTTCTCTCAAAGAAGGTCAACATTAACAAGAAGATCCAATATAGAATCCGATATGCCAGCTCTGCCTTCGGAAGACTGTATTATCATTTGTTCAACTATCACGACATTGGGACTTGAACGAAGCTCTTATTCTACAAGGCTGTGGTAAGCCCAACTCTTCTCTATGGCTGTGAAGCTTGGGTGACCTACAGGGACCACCTGAAAAGTCTGGAATGCCTTTACCAGTGCTACTTCCAGAAGATCCTTGGCATAAAGTGGGAGAATTGTTGCAGAAATGCCAGTGTCCTCACACATGCCAACACCCTCAGTATGAAAGCATTGATTATTCAATGTTAGCTGCGGTGGACAGGACACTGTATGTGTGCTTGATGCATGTTTTCCAAAACAGCTGCTATGCTCCAGCTTGGCCAAGGACAAAGGACAGGTGGGGGCCAAAGGAAACGGTTTAAAGGGCACCCTCAAGATTAACATTAGGAAGTATGGCATTGACACCACAAATTGGGAAAAACTAGCCTGGGGACAGGGCTGCATGGGAGAAGGTACATCTTACTTTGAGGAAAACAGTCTTTCCCTGGAGATAGAAAAATTACAGAAATGGAAGGAAAGGAAACTAGACTAAAAAAATCTGTGGTTTGACCCTCCCTTTAACAGTGACGTGACATCTGCCAGTCTGCAGTTCTAGGATCAGCCTTCTTAGCCATCGACAGACTCATCTACAACCCTTTTACTTGACCCATGACAATGATCATCCATGACCATGAGGGATCACTGACAACGATGACCTCAGCCAGAAGAATCAGTGAAACCACAGATTTTCTTGAATTTTTTCATATTTCACCATACAGCTGTCTGCTTTCTAATGAAGCCATTCAACTTTAATTAGATTATGCCATAGGCAACAATTGATCCTCTAGATCATGGTGTACATGTAAGAGGACGAGTCAGGTGCCTGATGAATCTGCTTGTGGATGATGAGCCCAATTTGAGAGCAGACCTATGTGTTGCCCAAGTTGGAGTCCAGCACACTGCTTTCTTCTTTCTCACTTTGCTTCCCTTCTCTAGATCAAAGCAGCTTCATGTTCTGCTGCACTCAGTGCCAGATGTTCCCTTCAGGTTGGAGGGTATT